GGAGGGACATCAGTGGACGCTGAACTGCGCGGGCCCAGGCCGAGGAAGGGGGTTTGGTTGAGGTACCCCACTTTGATCCTTTGACTCAAAAGTCTGACCCACAAGGCAGTGGGATGACGTAGTTCGGGGACCCTGACCCTAGCCTCTGGCTCAAAAGCCTGACCCACGAGGCAGTGGGAGAATGTAGGGTTGTCTTTCGGGACCCTACCAGGAGCCGACGACTTAACAGTCTGACCTGCTTGGCTGCAGGGGGTTGGCCTAACCAGAGGGCACGGGGAATAAGGCTACGCACAGCAGGTGACTTTTGAGCAGCACCGGGCTCTTTGGTTTTAAAAGTATTTCGACCGTATTGGATAAAGCACCGGCGGTTACGGTCAACCGTTGGCCAATCGCAGTGTGCGGTTTTAGGACCGACTTCCTCTAACCCGTCCTTCCTCGGGGGACGGCAGCATCGCTGCTTCCATAAATATGGACATGCTGGTCGCCTGGGGGAAACACCTTACTACCTTTACACTCCCGTCGCAGAGGACAGCACGACTTTCCCCCATACCACCTTGTAGCACGATTACTCGTAGTATGGGGTCTGGCTGCTCTTGGTCTGGCTACTCCCCTTCGGCCTTCCTGGAATGGTTTTACCTTGTGGAACGAAGTTCCAGCCAGTGAAACAAAAGATTAAGCGGAACCAGCTAATAATGTTGACGTTTCAAAACTGAAGCCACAAAATTCGACGAATGTTAATGATTTTGAAGCGAATGATAAACTTGAGAATAGTTTACAGAATATTTGAAACTAAAACAGTGTATTTCTGGATAGTTTGCGTGTGCAATGTAAATAGAATGGTGTTGACGTTATGGAAAATGTTCATGCAGTTGATTAGAAGATTTATATATGCGGCTAACGAAATGCAAAGCAATTGTGCGGGTTCTTTAAAGCAGCCCACTAATGTGCGTTTGACCGTTTTTTAGAAAAAATGGACCCTAGAAATATTATGGACGTGACGTTTGGCGTAAAACGCGAATTTTCTACTGCACTGCAGGGGACACGTTTTTATACTTTCGGTGTACTGTAAAACGGGTGTCGCTCACTTGACTTAACCACATCCAAATAAAATTAGCTTTATAATCGATTTATGCAAGTGGTTTGCAGGCAACTTTAAAGAACACAATTTCCTCCCAAGCGATTGAATTGGAACGCTAAAAATTTCCACTCAACAACATGGAGATGGTCTGCAATGGTATTAACCCGGTTCACATTCAAGGATCACAGGCACCCAAGCAGGTTCTCTGTCCAAAAAACCCCTCTTTTAAGCGGTGTGAACAAAGTACCAGCTGAAATAACCCTTTCTTAGTGAAGGAAGTACATTTTCAGGTACCTTTTACAGATAGCCCCAGCGCGTGCTACTGCTTGCCTCACAAAACCGCTCATCTACGCCTTAAAAATGAAGTTCATCCTGATATGATCTAGCTACATATATAAATGAGACTAACACCAGAATGCGAGCGCTCATAACTTTGAGGAGTCTACCAGCATTCTGCAGCTGATGTACTGCGAATCGATAGGGCTAGAGGAGTATTTTTCAACATCCCTATCGGATAACATCTCAACTGATAAACTGACTAGGGAGCAGGACCAATCGTGATCAATTATTTAAATTACTGTGTGCGGGGTTTGCCCCTTAAAATTGAACATACTAAGTAAACAGGACATCAAATCTCAGAAGAATCACAAACGTAAAAACGACGTTATCTGCCCACTGCTTTGTTCAAAACATTATTGGCAGTTTTCAAAAAAACTAAAAAACGATCTTTATTAGTGCTCGCATGACGCTCAAACGCATGCCACAAATCTCAACCTGTGACGTCGGAATTCCTTCCAATTCGTCTGCGGGAATGTTTTGTTCATTGATGACATTCGACGTATAATGTCGTTTAAAGATATTGCCCCGATGTCGAAAATCCGACGAAAGCCACGCCTGAAGTGCTCGACTACTTTACCATTAGTTGTGCGCCAAACCATTTTATTGCCAAAACCGACCTGATGGCGTTCGTCTAGACAAAGTGTTTAATTTCTGGTTTATCTGGCTATATTTTTGGAGCAAAAAGAATGGATCTGTACACCGCATGAGCCAAAAACGTATAATAATTTATTTCAACGCTGAGTTGCACGACAGTAACGTTATGCTGACGGCTGTCGACACTGTTTTGACGTCTGCGACTTCCAAAATCCAAGGTTTATGAAATATGTGGTGAAATGTTGAGGATTTTGTGTATACTACTAACATTAGGCTGACGATTTAACAGAAAAGGCATCATTAATTGCCAGTTTCCCACTAGTACGCATATATTTAGCTACCATTGAGAAAATGTCATATACGAATGGTTTTTGAGGCACAGCCAGTTGCCACTCAAAAAGGTTATTACCAACAATGCAAGAGACTAAACGTTTCCTAAAGATCACATTAATATCCTATTTGCGCACCCAATGAAGTGGAAGCATGCCTAGCTACAGGTAATTTCCGGTTTTTCGGTGGCTGCCAAAAAAGCCATAGCTGCACATTTTAGAAATTCCTTTACTAGACGTTGGGAAAGGTAAAATTACTTGCACGCATATCACCTGCTTAACTTTTGTTTCACAGAATATGTTGCGAAGGATTTCTCTGGCACACAGTGAAGGGCTCTGCTGTTTATGGCTGCCATCATGTTTATCCCTGGTTAGCTATACTATATTTTAAATACAACCAACTAAGGCCTAATTATTGGCTTTTGAACACAAGCAGAATGTTTCGCAAAAAGAAACAATACAAACTGCTCAAAATACGACGGATAAAAAGACTCTCTCTGCAACGCTCAATACCAAAAATATATCATGGTTTTCTTACATTGCAAAGTATTTTGCACGTTTTTGCCTAATATCAATTGCAACGGTGACCAAATAATAAGGCTGCACTGATATGTTGGTCAGTAAACGTAAGGCTTTGCTAAAACTTCACATGCCGCATTATTGTTATTTAAAACAAACAAGTGGCAAAAAGCTCGGAAGACAGTGAGTTTTGTTACTGTTGCAGCCCACTCAAAGTAGAGGAATCCAAAATAAATAACAATTTGTACACCTGTTTACGTCTTATTATGGATATTTCAATAAAAATTTGCCATGCTTCACTGCGTGCCGGATATCAACTGGTGGTACCCGGAACATTTATCCTAGCTAACCCATAAAAGGTTATATTCAAAAAAGTAAAAAAAAATCCTGGTTGTGCGGTTAACTTTGTATACAACAAACAATGCATATTTAACGAGACGTGCATTTTGTCATTAGAAAAATAGAAATATCCAAGACGAGCGGAATTTTTGTTGCATTTTTGGTGTGGCGACTTGCTGACACAGATAAGTATGCTTAAGAAACCGTTTGCTTTTTAATTGTACAGAAAATAAGGGTTTCCACAAGCCTGAGTGTAGAACGATATGCCTGTAAACACAACTCAAGCAAGTATTTTTTCGTGAATTCACTAACCGCACAAACGTCTCAAACAAATTCAGCACCGACACTTTCTTGGGGCGAAAACTACACCCTTTGAGAATGTCAAAACCAGCATATCAATCTAATCGAGAAAGCTTGTGTGTAACCAGATTGATTTCACCAAACAATGATGTTTCTTGAAACACTCAAGTAAAAAAATGCACATCAACACGTAAGTATGGAAATGTTGGATACAGAATATGCTGATACTTTGATCATTCCTATTTACTCCACAATGTATATATTTCTGCTGGATTTATTGTGTATATCGTCCAAAATTATGGTGATAATTTTATCAAGTAAATTATACTTCATGCATTTCAGTAGTCACTGTAAGACGCTGAACCTTAAAACCTTAAAAATATAAAGCAATTTTTCTAATAAACACCAGTGTGAAGCATCATACCTTGTGATTCAACTCGTAGCCGGAAATGCGTTAGACATCAGGCCTAATTAAATCCAAGCGACGAGTTAATAAGATTTTGTATTCGTTTTCTAGGACCGCAATAAACCTACCCGTTTACCAAAATCATCCTGAGGAAGGACTGAATTACGTACTGTATACTGAAACAACGTGACACAAATATAGTACAACATTGTACACATTATATTTAATGCAACATATATTACAATATAATACAAATTGTTGAACCAACTAATTCTGCAATATTCTGCGTTTTTCAAATCATCTACTTATTTTCCAGCGAGTATGTTTTTTTATTATTGTTGCCAAATGTCCGCGTGGCGCGGCAAGAATATTTTGCTGTTATTTACTAAATGCAAGATCACTAGTTTTTCTGATCCACATCCGTTGTTTGATCATTTTTGGAACTCCAGATAACAAAGTTAGCGGAAAAGAAGTTGAAAAAATTATTATTAGAATAAAGCTTAGAGGACGTATGTAACAAACAGCTAACAGAATCAAGAACGTGGCTACCTTAAAAGTTGAGGGCAAATATTAATTCTAACTATGATTTACTAAGTTCACATTTACGTCCCCCTCATTTGAACAGCCTTTATTCTCTCCCGGTGCAATCATTTGGGTGGATTCACACCAATGGGAGGAGCACTGGACTCGAGTTACGCTCTTATTGGACCTCATCAGCAATGTATATCCACTGACCGTGCTGGGGTCTCAACAGACGCTTTGACTAATGATTTTACACCAGACATCTAGAAAAAATAGTTTACATACAAATTAAGCGCGCTGATGCTATCTCTTTGAATTATACCGTAAATATTACAGAATAAACACTGAAAGTAAAATCCAGTTATTTTTTTATTGAAGGCTCGAAAAATGTTCTGACGCAAAAATCCAATCAAAATGATGATGGATTGCGGGGCAAAAAAGCATCAGGCACTGCGCACAAAATGTTGATGTGTATTTAGGTTTCGTTATAACTGGCAAATGCTTGAAATTTATAGACTTGAAAAATTCAAAGCACGTTTTAGAGTAAACTTTCCTCTAAGTGTCACGCACTTTGAGCAGTTTTTCTTGTCTGCCTACAAACTATAGACGTTATGTTGCGCCGAATGTGATCTGGGTGGACAAAATGGGTCAACCAAGAGTAATTTGTCTAGTGTCCTCCAATTACCTTATTGAATGATGCGCATCAAATCTCACACATCTTTTGGATGTCAGGATGTGATTTCACAGAATGGAATTTATTATTATTAGTAGTGGTAGTAAAAAACAAAACTACAGTTTACTAAATAATGTAAACTCGAACGGTTTAGTAAAATATTATCAGATGCTAAAACATTTCTCAAAAGATGTTTCATAGCCTCAGATACGGGTATACCTTGTTCGCTTTATCCAATTCGCTTTATCCAATCAATTGCACGTAAGTCCATTGTATTTTGCACACTTAAAGTAGACCTACAATGATTACTTCCAATTTATCCAGGATATATATTATGGTGACTTGTTAGAGCCAGAACTTCAGCAGTCCGTTTCTCACTATGTATAACACTGCGTTTACACATTGTGAACACCGCAAATGAGGATGACCCCTCTGACTACTCCAATTTATCCAGGATATATATTATGGTGGCTTTTTAGAGCCAGAACTTTAGCAGTCCGTTCCCCACTATGATTAACACTGTGAACACCGAAAATGAGGATGACCCCTCTGACTATCCTTTATCTATTCAATGGAGCAGCACAAACAAATCTTGGAACGGGTGAGAAATGCAGCAGTGATCTGATATGAAATATTATACCAAAAAAGTCGTAAACGAGTAGAAACATTTGTGATACTGACAGTAGTTAGGTACGCCATTGGCTGTTAAGCTTCCCCCTCTGAACCGTATTTGAAATAAGAGGTACAATCCCATTTCTCCTTACATTTTTCAAACCAAAAATGTGGGGCGATGTTATTTCGTCTCTCGTTCCTCCGCGTTAGAAAACCCATATTTGCAATCCACCAGTTTGTGTGTGTGCAAGAAAACTATGACACAAAAACACGTTCGTCCGAGGAAATGTTCAATTTCAACAAACTCGGAAGCCTCTCATAAACCTCTCTTAAAAGTTTTCCTCCCTAGGATTCAATGGGATATTCTATCTGAAAGTCGTAGAATCTAAGTAAATACAGTCGTAGAAGCTAAGTAAATACAATTTCAGTAAACTCTTCTCATATATATTGCTGTCATATTGAAAACACCCCAGTACAAGCATGCCTGGAGCCAGGTATGATTTTGATCGTTTTGTGCTGCAACAAAAATTGTCTAGACTATATGTAGAAGCGATGCTTGCAATATTTGTGCATTCATCAAAACACAAATTGCTTTCGCGTCAGTAGAGCATAGACATAGTGACTCCAGAAAATTTTGTTATATTATTATCATCCAACATTTGCACACCAAGAAAAATGTATATCACAATTCATGAATTTTATCCCAGGATGTTATCGGAAATGCCGGGTGTACAAATAAATTTTGTTCCTTGTCGATGCAGCACTAAAAATCATGTGCTTCGTATGCCAGTTTAGCGCTAGCATACAGCTCCTTACTTCCTGAGTGTACAATTGATAATCTCTTCCACAAACCTAACACAGAAATATAGCTTAAGTTAAGGAGAACACAAAGAACAAAAGATTTTGTTTTGTTAACGTACCCACAACCATAAATTCAGTTATTTACGGTTTATGTCTGTGTTTCTTTACATTTTTGCTCTGAAAATTCAGCATGTACGTGCCCGCCATTTAGCACCATACAAGTTTTAACTTAACGGCCATCAGCTTTATAAAGCATAGAAAATTTGTGCTTTGAGGAATGGATAAAACAGTGGATATTACTGAATTCATGAAACAATATGAACACTTCAGTCATGGCTTGGAAAAGTCCGGTAAATATTATGTTGCCATATTCTATCCCATCAAGTAACAAATCATTTAACACAAGGTATTTTTGATTTTTTTAAATAATTTAATGAAAAAAGAAAGACAGTACATAATATATATATGAAGTGAAAAATACATTCCGCAAAACTCCGCAACATGCATCAACACGATTGTCCAGAGGATTTCAGGCATCTGTGGTGCTACCCGACTTCAAAGTCCTGGCAAACGGGCTCATCGATCGGCGCAGTTACCGGGTTGTCGTGTCCATGATGTGTCGGTCATACCAATCACTTCGCTCAAGCTTGAATACATTCGTACGTTCAGAATTGAGAATGCAGATGCGTCCAACATGCGCTAGTGGAAAAATGGTAACACGTTTGCCTCGCACGTCAGGTGTCCAGAGTTCAAACCCCGACACAGCCCTTGGATATAAACTGCCGATGAGCTCAAATAAGAGCAAAACTCGAGTCCAGTGCTCCCTCCTTTGGTGTGGATTCGTCAGAATAATTAAGCCGGGACAGAAGGACGACTGTTTACCCGAGAATGTGAATTTAAACTATATACGTTTTATTCACACGATACTAAAATTCAAAAGGTTTGATGATTTTAGTTTGATTTGAGTATTATTTTAAAGAGATCAAACAACCTGCATGTAGGTTAGATTGCAGCCAAAAATAGGCATTTAGTCAATGCATGAACACACTGAATTTAATAGACTCGGCTTTTGGCCGTTTTTGTGCACATATGCATGATTTGTTAGGCCCTTTATTCCTTTTTACACTACATCTGACTTGAGTTACCTGAGTGTTAGCTTGATTGCAGTACGGGAACGTCCTGTTTCAACATGTTGTGAAACTAGACGTGCATTTGTCAAGCAGGTCTGGATATTGTATTGGCAATCATCTTTCCAGTTTAAGCGTGTTTCTTGGAACAAAACTCGAAAAATTGTTACTTTCCTCACATTATTTGTCGCGCAATGACGTTTGCCGTGATAGTGTCTTCGTGTGACAATGTTGTCTGGCCTAATGTTTCATTAAGTTTAGTGACCACGCCCAAAAATGTTTGTTAGCTGAAAATACAGATATTACTTTATCACTTCCCCTTACATCTTATCTGTATTTTGCATAAACTTTAAGGAAAACAGTGCGTGGAAAAGGGTAAGTTAAGGCCTCTCCTTCCTTATTCAAGTGAATTAAACGAAAAATGTTGTTGGAATCTCAGTAAATCCTCTTCCTGCGAAAGAGTTACTCAATAAGTGTCACACCGCATTGCTACGATTACGTGGTATTGGTTCTCCAATTAAAGGATAAGCACAACACCATTCCTTCAAGGGTTGCCTTATTTATACATCGAAACACACGACAAAGGACTGAATGTTTAAACAATTGGAACCATATGATGAAAAGTTCCCGAGTTTTTGGGATGTGCAATTACTGAAAACATGTAATTATTTTGGAAAAAACGCGTGAAAGAAACGTGCGGAAGAATGCCCAATTTCGTAAAATTAAATTTGCAACAGTACTCTAAAATCTGACATTTAACGTATATTTTGGTTTCTTCAAATTTAACAGCATAGTGTGAAATGTAGGCGCCCAGATTTTGTTTTTTAAGTACACCGCGGATTTCTCTCGCTAATGCGTGTTACGTAAACTCTCCGAGCAAAAGCGTTAATTTTTCGCTCTTTCGGCTCCATTATTCATCAGCGTGCAACTTTCCAGTGGCGAAAAACATCGTCGCTGATAAAAATTCCTTTAGTGGATCATTTGCGTTTCGCATTTCAAACTGTGTGTACTAAGTGACATATTATCAACTGTGCTTGAAGGTAGTAGTACAGAGCTTTGAAATGACAATCGGTGCATTTTGATTGCGTGCTTCGCACAAGCGTCAACGCTGATTAGTCGAGTTTGCAGTAAAAAAACTGTATAGAATTTGCTACAAAACAACATTGATTATGGGGCTCATTCCATGCAGTCTCTACTTAATTCTCTAATTTTCTACGACGCACATCCATTTAGCGAGCCAACCAACTGAAAGCGGTGGGTCAATCACAGTTGTTGGTACATTTCAGAATCAATTTGATTGCACGGTGACAGAACTTGGTTCAGTTGTCCATTTGTTCGCTGAGCTGGATAAGTTGACTTTCATCTAGCCAAGGATTGGGGGGACAGTTTTACGCAGTCCAACCTAAATTTTAACCTATTGCCATCAAAGGTTTTTGCTCTTATTTGAAAACCGTGTCGAAGGAATGGTAGTGCTTAGCTTTAAAAATAATAATGGTGGTTTAACCTCCAGATTTAACGCGGCCAAAAGCTTTTTGTACAGCGAACGGACAGAATGACCCGCAGTTGGAAACCTTGTCCAAAGCAGTCACAGCAAAACGTTTGAACTTGCAGGCGTACTGGCATCTGCTGTACAACACAGCTGCAATGGCGGGACCCTCAGTTATCACTCAAACGCTTTACCCTGAACCCGTGAAATATTCCTGTCCTGCGCGTTGTACCTGGACATGAGAAAAAGATCCCATTTTAAAGGTCATCATTTTACAAGGATTTGACCCCAGACTTTAGGATTTTTACACGTTTTTGCCAAAAAAAACGCTGATTTTATTTCTCTATGAAATTTGGCAACACTTGGGGACGGGCACCTATTTAGCGTGCAAAACTAATAATGGTGATAAGTGAATCCCATTTTCCGCTGAGACAGAAAATTTGACCTCGACAGAGCCAGGTAACCATTGTCACGAAACCATTCAAGTTATTCTTGTTACTCAAAAGCTTGACCGCCATCTCTGCATGAAATTGCATGCTGCTTGTCCGTTATCATTATAAAAACCCTTTTGAAATATTTATACTGCTGAGATTGGCAAGCGCCAGTGATGGTTTTGCTTTGAGATTCAACAAGATAAAAGCATTTGGGGCAAAATTGTGGGGTCGACATGGTTGCGGTACGGAATAATCAAAACTGACTGCACCTTACTCCCCTTGGCTTCAACCTTTCGTCTCATCCCAAACTTTTCGCCTCACAGACTGACTTGACATTCCAAACTATTTATTTTTTTATTCATTTATATTTATTGATCACTTACGTTCCAAGTTACAAACCATGTGTATTGATTTGCAACTTGCCAACTTTGATTGTAGGATGGTGGTACATAACTTTGGTATTACAATCGATGGCTCTCAATGTCCGCTGCACATGCTTATAGACGCTGATTAGCCGGCTTACCAGTAAAAATACCGTATTGACTTTTTTATAAAACGGGATTTATTTTGAAGCTGCTCCCATGCTATCATCACAAATTTTTTTCATTATTCCGCGACACGTATCCGCTTAGCGACCCAAGCGACTGAAGGTGGTGGATTACTCGCAATTTTTGTGAAATTTCTGAATAAATTCCATGATATGGTGATAAAACTTTAAATCTGCTTATAGTCGAACGTTTTTTTAGCTAAGCTGAGGAATTTGACCTTCGTATGGTCAGATAACACTTGTCCCAACAGCAGTGAAAACATTATCTGTTTTGCGCAGCTTAACCTTATTCCGTGCATAATACGGCGGAATATACTTTTCAATATCCATGCCAAAACAGTGGTAATACGACGAAACGCCCCTTGAGCAAATTTTCCAGCGCAGTCACTGATGCAACACACACTTTCTCTTGTTCTCCCTCATATCAACCCCTTTCAAATTCCAAAACATTCTGTGGCGCACGCTTATATAGCAAGCCCACCCAGTGGCGGTGGTAAGTAGATTACTGCTCTTATCTGCTGCTACTGCTCTCATCTTACTCATAACAGGGTCCGGTTTTTTCGGAAGAGGTATTTATCAAAGAGCCAATGTAAAAGTATCAACAGCCAGCGATGATATTTTTGTTTGAGTGTGGCGTTGATAGCGGTTTCACAACGACTGAAGCGCACAGCCATGTCAGATCATTCGTTATAAGTGGACCCCGGTTTGCTTTTTAAGCAAGCAAAATTGACTCTATATGTTTTATCATCAATCAGATTGACCATGCAAATGTGCCTCATTGCAGATGCGGCCAATATGACCAGCCAAACCACTGACGGCGGTAAGTGGATTACTGTTCTCAAGCGAAATCATCTTACATTTTTAAAAGCGTCCGTTTTTCAGAGTTGTCTTTATCAAAGGAGACTTTATCAAAATTTCGATATACAAGTAAAAATATATCGCTCACATACCCAAATTATTTCGGGCTTTTCAACGCTAAAGTTACTTACGCGTTTAGCCTTGAAACTGGTTTACCAACGACCGCAGCGTACAGCGGTGGCAGAGCATACGTAGTAAGTGGGGACTGCTTCGCTTTTTAAGCGCGCACAATCGGCTTCATAGGTTTCATCATCAAACAAACAGACCGTGCAAAACCTATCCCATTGCAGATGTCAAACGATTCATGCTAGTGTGTTTTTTAATTGCTCCCGGTAGACTTAGTTTACTAATATGCTGATTCCATACTAGGACATTGGCAACTTTCGTTAGGATATTTTTATCATACGCAATAGCATTTGGTAGGTTCGCTTGTGAGCGCAGCCTGTCCTACGGAGCTACATCTATCTCCGTAAAACACTCTTACTTAAATTATTGAGTCTCATAAACAGAAGGCTCTATATAGCCACAACAAAAGTGCCACTCACTGTATTCGGTTATTACGTGGCTTGAAAATTTTGCTTTTCACGAAATAGAGATTGCGTTATATATGCCAGAACAAGCCTGGTGTTGTCAATTATTGGTTTTTGTGCAGAACATTGCTAGTTTGTCCAATTTTGAGCCTAACTGGATTTGCCCGCACTGGAGTGCAGAATATGTTGCTGGTAACATGAAAATTTTCAATTGTTTCCCGCGAGGTCTTTTGTATAATTCCATAACTTGGACACACCGTTCCTTATCCCGGACATATAATTCTGGGCAATCTACTATCGTATGGTATTTGAATGCCTGCGGTGACCCTGGCTTTTCTAAAGCCGCAGCGCACAACAGTGGTAGATCGTGTGGTAGAAGTAAGCGTCTGTCTGTTTATCAAGCCGTCAAAAGCGTTCTCGTAGGCTGCCCCAAAAGTCGAACTGACCACGTACAATTGATTCCATTGGCGATATCCCCCGATTTCGCTCAGTGTGCCTCTTCATTTAACTCGGGTGGTCACACTACTAGGTTAATAATTCAGTAGCTAGCTAGCCAGATTGTTTTTTCTTAGGCGACACTATATTGGCAGAGTTAATTTTGTTCGACTTCCTTCAATCCTTACTAGGTTTTATGCTGTTATATCCATACACATGAAGCGTTCACTCCCATCACTCCCATTTTTCAAAAAGAAAGACCGAATTGGTTACTATTTCGGTTACTATTTCGTTCGATTAAATAGAAAGAGAAAACAAAGATGACATTTTTAAGGGCTTGTTTGCTCGAAAAACTGTCTAATTTATGCTTCTGTGTTGCTTTGTCTGAGTTTCACAAATACATTGAGAATTTTGGAGCTTGTATGTCATCAAATTTTAATGGCTGGTGTGGGGCTTTGAGGGCAGTTCGACAACGTGTTAAACATTTCCATGCAAACAGGAAAAGTTATACACATCGTTTACGCAAACCCAAAGCAATTTATCACCTT